TGGAGGGTTCTCCCCCGATAAAAGGGAAGGTCAAACTTTTGAGCATTTTCTTGAAGGAAGCATTTCTATCTTTGGAAGAAGAGCAATCCTTTACCACATCTGTATTCTAGAAAATACTTTTGGACTATTAGCACCTGAGGAAGGTACATTACATCTCTAAAGGATTAAACTTTCCAGCTTCCTATAGTGATTATTCTATTGCAAATTTCCAAGCTCTCTAGGTCCCTGGTGACATTCGCTGTTCCGGAATGTCTGCCAGGAGTCAGGTAGATGAATACAACGGTTTGCCAAGATCATTTCCTTTTTTGCTTGTTTGTTTTTCTTTTGAGTCAGAGTCTCACTCTGTCACCCAGGCTGGAGTGCAGTGGTGTGATCTTGGCTCCCTGCAAACTCCACCTCCTAGGTTCAAGTGATTCGCCTGAGTACCTGGGATTAGAGGTGCCTGCCATCATGCCCAGCTAAGTTTTGTATTATTAGTAGAGATGGTGTTTCACCATATTGGTCAGGCTGGTTTTGAACTCCTGACCTCAGATGATCTCCCACCTCAGCCTCCCAAAGTTCTGGGATTACAAGCATGCACATGCCCCTGTGCCCAGCCAAGCGCTTCTTTTTCTACTTCTTGTAGAGCCTATGGAATATGTGACATAATATTTGAGTCCCACCATTAAACTATCCAAAGTACAACTGGATTTTAATAGGTAATTTGGGTTTGAAACAGAGGTGACTTATCTCAGATGACCACAGGAGAACTCAAAATAGGAAGAACTCTCCCTTAACTCCAGACTCATATTATTAACAGCTTGTTGTACTGGATCTTCCCAGATAATTCAAATTCAGCAAGCCCTAGTCTGATTTCCCCATCTCCCCACATACATCTTATGAGCCTCCTGCATTGCCTCCTCCATCAACAGTCAGTACTGCCCACCCTGGCCCCCACAGTGGAAGCCTGGGAAGCCTCCTAGTCTTCTCCCCTCTTTACCATCCCAAATCTGAGTCTGATCAATTTCATCTTCCTAAGTGTTAAGACCCAGAGTGTTGTATCCTGGAGCGTATGGGTCAAGAGTCCAGTGGTGTTTCTTTACCATGGACATGGAAGTTCTAGGACGCAAAAATAAAAAGCTTAATAATAAGTGGAGCAGCAGAAACAGATACTTCAAACACCAAAGAGCTGAGAACATGTTTGCAGGTTGTTACATTCTGGGCACTGGTTAACAATGAAGAAGATGAACTCCAGTGTTCCACTGTTTCATGGGGGTGTAAGCCACGGCTCAGGTGACATAGCAGGTACAGTGAATACTGTGGCTGTTAGCCTCTTCTCTAGGTATTGACAATGGTGTAACTTGAGCTTGGGCTCTCTCCTTGTGCTCCCACAACCAACAGGCTTGTCCTGATCAGAGCCCTTAAAAGAAAGGATTTTACGTATCCACTTACTTTTCTGTCTCCTTATCTAAACTTGAGTAACTTGAATGCAACAGCTGTGTCTAACACATCTCACATCAGTAAGTCCTGGTACAGTTGACAACACTGAGTCATTTAGTGGGTGGATTACTTTCTTGTGGCTGCCGTAAGAAATGACCACACACTGGGAGCTTCAAGACAACATAAATTTATTTTCCCATGATTCTGGACCCCAGTTATCTGAAATCAAGATGTTATCAAGGCCCTGCTTCCCAAGAAAAACCCTTCCTTGCTTCTCCCTGCTCCTGGTGGCTCCTGGCATTCCTTGGCTTGTAGCGTCACTTCAATCTCTGTCTTTGTCTTCACGTGGCCTTTTTTCCTCTGTGTGTGTGTGTCTCTGTAATCTCTCCTCTTCTTAAAAGGATGCCAACCATTGCAGTTATTGGATTAAGGGTCCACCCTAAATCCAGTGCAATATCATCTTGAGATCTTTAAGAACCTATTTCCAAATAAGGTTACATTCTGAGGTTCCAGGTAGACATGAATTTTGAGGAGCACTCTTCAACCCACACACAGCAAATATACAATAAATAGTAATTGCCATGATCCCCCTCATCTAGACAGATTCCTTTATTATATACGTTCATTGAACCATGATCCTTTCTTTTTTTTGAGACGGAGTTTTGCTCTCGTTACCCAGGCTGGAGTGCAATGGCGCGATCTCGGCTCACCGCAACCTCAGCCTCCTGGGTTCAGGCAATTCTCCTGCCTCAGCCTCCCGAGTAGCTGGGATTACAGGCACGCGCCACCATGCCCAGCTAATTTTTTGTATTTTTAGTAGAGACGGGGTTTCACCATGTTGATCAGGATGGTCTCGATCTGTTGACCTCGTGATCCACCTGCCTCGGCCTCCCAAAGTGCTGGGATTACAGGCGTGAGCCACCGCGCCCGGCCGATCCTTTCTTTTAATTCACAAGCTTCGTGAGAGTAGGGGCAATTGTGAATCTCACTCAACCTTATTATTTTATTCCTAGTACTCACTGCAGTGCCTCTCACATAGTGGGACACAATAAATAACTCTTGAATGAATAAATGGCTGAATTAATAAATAAACGAATGAATAATCACTGACATAACTATGCTGCAGTTCTGATCCTGAGCTAGGAGGTTCCAACGAAGGCCTCAGCAGCTCTGGCTGCAGAGCCAGCCTTCACACAAGGCTCAGCTGGCTCTCTCTGGAACTGGTTGAGTTTGTTTAATCATATTATACAGTGTGCATGTTTTACATGATCAATATGTGTCACCCTAAGTGAACATGTCACCCAGCCTAATGGCTTCTGCAGGAACAGTTTATTGGGGTTGGCATTCTCCTTTGTAGATGCTTGCTCCAGCGAGGGCAGCAACAATGGGCCCAGGACCCTCAGTGCCCCTTGCCTCCCTTGTGCTGTTTTTTGCTAAATGAAATATGACAGGAGAGTAGCTTCCAGTAATTGCAATAATTGACTGTAGAGCCCATGATTATGTCATTAGCTCCTCTCCAGTTAACGTGTTATGATTGTGGCCATATTTCTCTGCTTTGGAGACCATCAAAATTGCATGAAGGGATGATCAGGATGGTGGGGAACTGCCTTCCCCACTCCTCCCTACTAGACTGTAAGTTTTATCATTTAGGAAAATGTTTACAAAGGAAGGGCTATAGTAAGAAGACCTGGGTCCTAGTTCCAGCTTGGCCACTTATTACCATGTGTTCACTGATAAAGTTTGTTTTTTCTTTTTTTTTTGAGATGGAGTTTCGCTGTTGTTACCCAGAGTGGAGTGCAATGGCGCGATCTCGGCTCACTACAACCTCTGCCTTCTGGGTTCAAGCAATTCTCCTGCCTCAGCCTCCCGAGTAGCTGGAACTACAGGCACGCACCACCATGCCCAGCTAACTTTTTGTATTTTTAGTATAGATGGGGTTTCACCTTGTTGACCGGGATGGTCTCGATCTCTTGACCTCATGATCCACCCACCTCGGCCTCCCAAAGTGCTGGAATTATAGGCGTGAGCCACCGCGCCCGGCCTGATAAAAGTTTTTAACTCTGAGATCTCTGATGGTCAATTCCCAGGGTTGGGGGATGGGGAGATGAGAAGAGTTCATTCCCCCCCTACCATATATGGTGATTTAGAACACCCAGGTATGCAATTCTGCACATTACTAACATAATAGAATTCATATTATTAAAATGGTTGCATTCCACCTGTTCCTAGAGAGGGAAAGATAGCCCAGTGCTTACAATGAGCCTACCTGGACATTACTCAGCTGTTAGTTTCTTGGATAATTATAAGAAACAGAGACGGCTGGGCGTGGTGGCTCACACCTGTAATCCCAGCACTTTGGGAGGTCGAGGTGGGCGGATCACGAGGTTAAGAGATCGAGACCATCCTGGTCAACATGGTGAAACCCCATCTCTACTTAAAAAAAATACCAAAATTAGCTGGGCATGATGGTACGCATCTGTAGTCCCAGCTACTCGGGAGGCTATGACAGGAGAATTGCTTGAACCCGAGAGGCAGAGGTTGCAGTGAGCCACGATTGCTCCACTACACTCCAGCCTGGCACCTGGTGACAGAGCAAGACTCTGACTCAAAAAATAAAATAAAATAAACAGAGACAAGAGAATACGGTCAGCAGTTGATAAACTGGACTTCAGAATGTCTTTTATTCAGAGTGGGAGCCTATGCTAGCAACCCTTTCCCTGACAAAGCACTTTTTCTTCTAAAAAATGCAGAAAAGGTTATCAGTGAAGGGAACATGACAGAAATCAACCAACCAGAGATGGTAAATATACATTCATCACTCATTGCTCTATATCCTCTTCCTGGGGCTCTGGCAAGTATTACAGAAAATAATTGTTCTTTTTCCCATGGGGCTTCGAAATGAGTGGTACAATGAATACTGTTTAACAGCCCACTTTTGGTGAGGCTGAGGTGAGCTCTGGTTCATAGCTGGCAGATACGCATGCTGTAAATTTTCCCATCATGGCTGGCATCAAGCTACCAATGTGGGATCGCCAAATGCAGAGTTGGTAAGTGACGTGATCAGTTGGCTCTCTTGAGACTCTGTGAACTGACTTCCCCACACCATTGAAATCTTTTTCAATACAAAGTTCCAGAGATCCACATCCAACCATTCAGAATTGCCACAGAAAAGTGAAAAGATTTTGCCATCTCTTTTAATCCTCTAATTTTACAGATAAACAGACAAAGTTCCAGAGAAGAGAAAGAAAGTGTACAAAAATCACACAGCAAGTCAGGGAGCTGAAACTCCAGTTTCCAGCATGCAGCTTCTTTCCTCTGTGTGACACCTTTCCAGAGGCTTCATGGGAAGGTAGGATGATTCTACACCACCTGGCCAACAGTGGTTCAGAGAAGGATTTAGTACAGTTGCCAGATATCTTAACATCTCTTTATGTATTTAAGCCTAACAACTCCATGACATGGGTACTATTATTATACCTATTTGACAGACAAGAAAATAAAGGCTTAGGGAAATCACATAGCTTTTCCGAGGTTGGAGGGTGGGTGCTGGAGCTATAAAAATCATACTTCAATCATACTTGCCTTAGGTAGCTTCTGACATGACTCCAATAATTCCCACACCTGGTATTTGTGGTCTTTCACAATTTCCTCCCTTAGAGGGTAGACTGGATCAAGAGACCTGCTTCTAATACGCGGAACACAGAAAGGCAATGAGATGTCATTTCTACGATTAGGTTACAAGAGACTGTGACTTCCATCTTGCAGGAATATAAGTCATTCCTTAGCATCCACAAGGGATTGGTTTTCGGACTTCCGTGGACACCAAAATCCACAGATGCTCTCATATAAAATGGCCTGGTAGGTGCATATAACTTATGCACATTCTCTCACACATTTTAATCATCTCTGGAGTATTTATGTATAATACTGAATACAAGGGAAATGCTATGTAAATAGTTGTTATACTGTGTTGTTTTTATCTGTATTATGTTTTATTGTTGTATTACTTATTTTTTTTTTTAGTATTCTTGATTCAGAGTTGATTGAATCTGTAGATGTAGTGCCCACAGATAATAGGGAGCTGGCATCAAGCCTGTGTGAACTGACTTCCCCACCTTCATTTCCTCTTCTCTCTTCTCTGTTGCTTACTTTGATGAAGCAAAACACCATGTTGTAAGATACTCTATGTAGTGGCCCACATGCTACGGAACTGAGAAAGACATCTGGCCAATAGCTCTCGGGGAACTGAGCACTTAGTCCAATAGCCTGTAAGGTTTTTAGGTGCCAACAACCACATTGGTGAGCTTGGATTTTTACCCAGCCAAACCTTCAGATGAGGCTGCAACCTCAGCAAATGCCTGGATTTCAGCCTGTCAAGAAACCCTCAAGACAAGGGTATCATCTAATTTATGCCAGGATTCCTGACCCACTGAAACTGAAATAATCATTGCTGTTATTTAAGTTGATATATATTAAAGTACTTTGTTAGTAATAGATTACTAATATAGCACTAGTCTGCCTAGAGTTAACCATTCAAATAGGATAAGTTGGGTAACCAAGTTACTTAGGTACACTAAAATTCAGTCTTTTCTTTTTTAAAATTGGGGGTAGGAGGTTTTACAACAGAACCTGGTATACAGGTAAAGGGTTCTTGGGAAATGGAATGAGGTAATAAGAAGACAATGCTTAGCACACAAATCAAAAGCATCAAAAATATGGCTGAAACCAATTTCTGGTCTGGAATCCTTGAAGTACTGTATAAACATAATGGGAAATAAGAGGTAAGGGAGATAGGAGGTGAGAGGAACCAGGAGCGATTCCTTATTTTTATGAGCAGGACAGAAATGAGTGAGTGGTGTTTGAACTTAAGGCATAGACCCAGAGAAGATTCTACAGTGTGTTAAGACACTGGGAGATGTTGGGATAGATAATGTCTACAATGCAGGCAAGGACAGCACCATTTATTCTCCATAAAACTCTCAGCAGGCTGTGTACTTTTCCTCAGAAAAATAAAACTAACTGGTAAATAGATGTCATTTTACATACCATGTAACCACAGGATATAATTATCGACTGCACTCATCCACACATCACAGAGGAACGAAACTTGTTAGGCACAGCCTTCTCAGCCCACCAAGCTTGTGTGTGAACTCCGTGCATCTCTTCTGATGCCACTGGCTGACGGTCTAACTTATACCTCTACTAAAAGTACTGAGAGCCCTTGGTCAGCATATCTCAGCTGCAATAATAGTCACAAAAAAACTTTGTTTACAAAGCAGAAATTATATTTGTTCTGGTTAGATAGGGACGGGAGACTACCTTTTAGTTCCCAGATTAGAATATCTTGGTGGCTAAAAAAGCAGACTTGAGAGTAACCTGTCTGGGTCTAAACATAGCCACATAATTTTACCATCACTGTGTCCCTCAAAATGTAACTCCACCTCTCTGAACCTCAGTTTTCTCATCTGAAAGAAGTGATAACACTCCCTAACTTCACTGTGGTTTGAATAATGAAATGAGTTTGGGGATATAAAAGCCTAGTGCGATAGTTGGTATATGGGAGGGAGGCCAATGAACAAGCATTCTGCTTCATTGTGTTTGTTTTATTATAACCATGAAAATAAAATTCAATACATTAAAAAAAATTCTCAAGGTCAGTGTGTTTGCAGTCTGTGATTTGCAGAATAATGTTAACTGGCATTGAACAAAAAATTAGAAAAGATAGAAGAAAAGAAGAAGTGAAAGAGGAAGGAATTTGTTTCTATTTTATTTTGCTTATTCTTACTTACTATGGTCTTATAGTCAAATGAGTTTATAACATGAACATTAATATAAAAACATTTAAGAAAGGTTTTCTTTTATTGTAGGATTTTTCAGAAACTTTGCAAATTTGCATGTGACTTCTCAAGAGAATAAAGTGTGTGATGTTTTTATAATTTATTTCAACCCAGAAACTTTTTTTTCTCCCTAGAATTCATATTAATATATTACAGAAATCTGTTTTAGAGGGTGCACTTTAGAAACCATTGCTGTGAAATTATCACAGCCCAATCAGACATTCTCCACTAGAAATTTCTGGTCATTTGTAGCTACGTTCCACATAACCAGAGCAGTAAGTAGAATCTATTCTGTGATTTGTTTTATTCTCTGTCCATACTTTCAGTCCTACCAAAGCCATCTAAATTTTTGGACCACCAGACAGCCTGTTTTTGTTAGCTGTTCCCGTGGCTATGCTGCAGAAAGCCTGAATTTCCACTTTGATTTTTGCATTTACTACATTAAATGTCTCTGCTACCGTCTTCCCTCTTCCTCAGCAGGGCTCTCAGTGCTAAATGGGCAGTTTTCTCAGGATTCTGACTTGGGGATAGAAGGTATACACTTTCCTGGTCTCTGTCCTTGTGTAATACAATAAAATTTGAAACGTTTGAGTCCCCAAAACTTTGGTCTTCCTAGACATTGATCCAGAGTCTGACTCTGGTTGAACACCTTCGGCAACAAGATTCCAGATACGACAAGTTCTGCTCCTTAGAGAGCAGGGACTCGTGGCCCAGGATGAAATGCATGCATTTCTTCATGAAGATGGAAATTACTCCTCCAGCTAAGTGTCAGTCAGTTGCTTAAACAACAGCTGACAGCAGAAACCAGAATTGCCCCTTGTAGAACGGGTCCGTGACTGAACCCAAGAAATGTTCCTGCCATAGCCTCAGATTCTTTTTTCTTTACTCCTAAAGCTTTCATCTCCCTATATTCTGATCTACCCCAAGTTGTCTTCCCATATCTCTTCTCAGCTGACTGTCAGCTAATCCCTAAAAGTGTTAAGCTGCTTGCTTTAGTGTAAACTGATTTAAAAGAAAAGATGCTAGCTAAACAGGCTAAACATTATCAGAGAATCATACATTTTAGATAGGGCACTTCAAGACTGATAAGCCCTAAACCTCCCATAAAGACATAACTGTGGCACAGAAGAAAGAGAGGAAAGAGTGATAAGTTGAAATCCTGGTTCTGCCAATTTATTTCTTCGGTGTATATTTACTTACTAAATACGTACTGAGAACAAGCTCTGTACCAGGCATTATGTTGGGTGCTTAGAGTGGTGAACAAAACATCCAGCCACCAACCCTGTCGTGGTAGGCTTTACCAAGCTAAATTATTATATGATTATAAAATTGCGATAAAGCTACAATGGAAAAGAATAGGATGAAGTGATAGGAAATATGTAGAATGTCTTAATGCAGAGAGAATGGTCAAGGAAGTTCTCTTTGAGTTGGTGGCACTGAAGCTGAAACTTCAAGGATGAGAAAGGAAGAGCTATGCAGCTGTGCAGAAAGAGTGGGGAGGATGGTTTCGAGGTGAAGCAGCACATTTGCAAATGAAATAAGAAAAGAAAGAGATTGGCTTGTTTGAGGGAGTGAAAGAAAGCCAATATGGATGTAATAAACTTAGTGAGGGAGGGAGTGCCAGAAGATGAACTTCATGGCTCAGCTATCTTTGATAGAACAATGCTACATAACAAACAACTACAAGTTCCAGTGGTTATTGTTTATGTATCTGGGGTCAGCTTGGGATCAGCTCTAAGTTCTGTTTCACAGGTCTCTTATCCTCTGGCAGTGTAGTCCAGACATGGTCTTCAGACAATGGCAAAGGCACAAAGATGCATAAAAAGCAGGCAATGCCCCTGCAGGCTTAGACTAGGAATCAGCATACCATTATTTTATTAGTAATGCACATCACGAATCTGATCTCTGAGTCAGCACAGGCAGATATGGTATATTTACATGGCAAAGGGTCTGCACACCAGAAAGGGTGGAGAACTGAGGGCATTGTTGCACCTTCCACAATTAGAGAAACAGACAGATAGAAACCATTCCAATTAAGTCTTTAAAGGCCAACATATGTAGTTAGATTTTATTATAAGTACTATGGAAAGCTATTAAAACTGGCTATCTAATGACCATGTGATCTTGGACAAATCCTCTGTTCTCTTGAATATTTGTATCCTCATCTACAAAATGCATGTGTGTTGTGGATGAAGGAGGGGCTGATTCTCAAGTAAGATACTCAAAGTCTTTGAGCCTTGTAATATTTATGTGTAAAAAACGAACTAATCATATATATATAATATCATAGGATTATTGTGATAATTAAATAAGATTATGAATGTGAAAGTGCTGTGTAAAGTGTGAAATGCTCTGCGTTCATTTCACATTATTCATATTATTTAGAGAAATTCCGCAAAATGAGGTTAGCATTGCATAGATGAGGAAGCTGAAACGGGGTTGTTAAATAACATGTATATTGTCCACAGTGAGGAAAAGAGGAGGAGCCAGGGTGAAACACTCATTCATCTGATTCCAAAGCTCCAAGTCTTCAATTAACTATAAATTAAATAAGTTGCTTCCCTGTATGAAGAATTGGCCGCAGTAGTGCCGTTAACAAAGATTACTGGCTTTGTAGGAAGTGATGGGTGTGATTTAGACCTTTCCCAGATGGTGCTGAGCTCAGCAATAGTTTCTTATCCCAGGCAGGCCAGTGGCCAGGATCTAATTCACCAGGGGCCATCTCAGCTGATTGGTTCATCAATAACCCATTATCTCTGCCATTGTAAATATCTCGCAAAGAATGTGACTTTCAGGGAAGAATACCCAAGCACACCCAGGCTGCAGCCTGTCCATAGCACAGATGTCC